TACAACGCAAGTTCAAGCTCGCTGTCACGTTGTTTGAAAACTTCCAGCAGAGGATCCCATCACCAATTTTAAAAGAACCTGTACTCTTTGATATGTTTGCGTTTTTTGTAATTTCACTCAGGACAGCGGCGGTCCGTACGTGGCCGTATCCTACCCATTAACATTCCCCAAGGAAGTTGCCCCTATATGACAAAAAACACAAGTGGTGGCTCGTTGAGAGACACGAGCAGCTACATTATGTCAAAATGCGATTCATCTCCACTTACGCGAAAACTCCCGTTTGCTCAAGTGCTGAGGTTTGCCTTGCTTGCGGCGAGACATGTTGGTTCAGTGGCAGCTTTTCAGCTGAGTTCACATTGGGAAATCCGTTCCTACAAGGTAGACTCCAAATGAAATATCTTCATTGATGCGTCTGACATCCAGAGAGGAGAAAGAAAAGCATGAACTGCAGATCACACCGAGGCGGAGGCGTAGCGCGCTACGGGCTGTGCGAACCTCTTCATGACTTTTTCGCGAAGAGAGAGTGATGGGGGTACGGCGAAGCCCCCCTGAGTTGCAAGTTCAAGTGCGGACGTGACGTTCCGCTGGCTTCAGCTTCCTGCCGAATTGCAACCGTCAGGAGATGTGACGGACTGAGACAGTACAACTGGGCGATGCGATTAGCCTGCCAGTGGGTGGAGGACAGCCAATAATAAAAACCAATGGACTACTCAATTATGACTACCTATGGGGAGAGGAGAGGAGGTAGTGAGTGTGGGGGGGGATTTTGAACCTCCGAAGACACCTTAATGGACAGAAGGGCATCAAAAGGGGGCTGGCCTAAGCGGAGAGAGAGAGAGAGAGAGAGAAAATGAGAGAGAGAGAGAGAGAGAAGAGAGAGGAAGAGTTATCCAAGGAAGTAGAGGAGCGGCAGAAAGCGCATGAAGCGAAGAGCGTAATGTAGCAGAGGTGTGGTGGAGGATGAAGCTCCATTCATGTTTATTAGAGTTTGTGTTCAGGCTGATATGAATATGCAGTGACTATGTAAATGCACCATCCAGGCCGAAGAGTGTATTCTTACACGAAGATCGGATAAAGTGTTTTTATTTAATTATAATTATTACCTCCATTACATTTTATTTGTTTATTTTCTACTTGTTTTGTTCAGTGTGTTTCATTTGTGAGGTTAAAGCTTTCTATGAGAAGAAGGTCTGTTATACGGGTTTATATGTAGGCTGTAATGTAAATCGATTTACTGGGTTTTTCTGGAGAGGATGTCCCAATGCAAATGTGAACTCGCAAGAGAATAAGATAATATCAAATTAATATTAATGCTAGGCCTATATAAAATAAACCGGGTGTGAACACGTTGAACTAAAAAAACTACGCAAAAAAATGATTTACCAGATTTACAATCCAATGTCTTTTGATTTACAGGCTGCAACATAATTTGATTTGGTTGTGTTAAACAGTGTGTTGAAGCAACGATTTGTTCTCCGAGGTTATCTTAATCTTTCCACCTGAAAGGCTGTCTATGTGATAGATAAGCAGACACATTTCTTAACAGAGTATAATAGGCCATAAGCACTTATGACAACAAAAATAAAAGCCTAATCTTCACACTCAAAGCCATACAGGGGCATTGCTCTTCTATTATAGTGTTGTAATATATATAGCCTATTCGAATGATTTAGCGTCTCTGTAGAGTTTTTTTTTTTATAGTTTTATTGTGATGTTATAGCCTTTACTGTACAGGAGCTGGGACAGTAAAGACGTCCGGATTTACAACCGCATGCAACCAGGCAAATAATTAGACATTTGAAACTGGGAGCCAAAACAGTAAACTCATTATGGCAAAATCATTTGAACAATTTTGGTACATCTGGTATAATCCTCCCGCATTGTTCGACTGTGTTGGCTGAACCTACACAGCATAATGTTTAAAATAAAGGTATAGGAAGAAAAAAATGCTCGAGGATTAATGAGGATTAAATGAAGTGTGGCTGCACTTTAAATGATAGGCTGATGTAATGGAATCTCAACGGTTTCAAGCTAGAAGGTAATTTATTTAATTGGTGTTATATGTATATAATACTTCATACATAAATAACCTAAACAAAAGATTCGTTTTTCTTTTTATATCTGTTTGAGGTTCCACTTTATTTGGATAGTCCGCCCACAGTTTCTAATGTAACTGTAACATTTCAGCAGCTTAATAGTTGAGATTCAACCATTCAGCTGTTTTACAAATTAAGGTCTGGTTAGGTTTAGGCACAAAAAACATTTCCTGAATTGTCACATATACTAGAGATAGAGATAGATAATCTGCTGTAAGCAAATGTTACAAATACTAAATAAACAATAAACTATCTGCCTGGGGACAAACCAGATAAAATATTACCCGGTTTGGTTTCATAGCATATTAAATAAAGTTCTAACAGACTGAGTTTGAGCCAGATTAGTCATATGCAGACTGTAAAAGTCCCCTTTCTAACTTAATACAGATGAGGGCCCATTAACAACAATATGGAGAGATAATTCACATTGCTTAACCCACGTTTAATATTGGTGAGGAAAATATTCATAAGTGCTCAATACTGGTTTGTTTTGATTTGATTTAATTTGATTATTTTTTAAGTGTGAATTTTAGTCTTTAGTCTTTTATTTATTTATTTGTTTTGGTGCAATGAGAGCTTCATTATTGATCAGACTCTGGAACGGTCTCTGAGCCCGCTTCCACATCACAGTGCAATACTCTGGCGCCATCTAGTGTTTCAATACGAGACTGACTCCAAATGCAGATCATAATGCGAGCATGTTATGATTATACAGAGCATTGAGCTGAGCCATCAAAATGTTTCTAAAGGCTTCAGAATTGCACTGAATTAGATTGTTTGTCCGAGTGCCAACCACAATGTAATTATAATAATTAAAATAACTAATAAATTACTAATAGGCTAATGCTGCTATTCAAATGGGTTACTCTACAGCCTAACATAGTTTTCTCTATTTAAAAAGTGTTGGATACAAATATCTATATATAATTATTATAACAACAAAATAAATCTAACATTCTCTCATAATCTACTGTTTCATGCTTACTCTTATACACAATAACATTATAGGCCCATATAAGCCTGTATACAGCTTATCTAAAAACATTGTGTAAAATCCACAATCACTACAATATGGGCCACTCACGGTTTGCTGTCACCATCGTATTACATAACCTCATGTGCTCCTTCTTTATGAGCATGTAGCGCCACCGTGAGGCCAAGACACAACACTGTTGGAGGAGCTTGGGCTGGGCAGCAGGGCTTGCAGGAGCAGCAGCAGCGGCTCTGTTCATAACCGTCTATATATCGGATGCTGATCGCCCGTAGAGCACCTGGTGAGTGACATTTCCGTCCCTCCGTCCGACAGGGCCGACCCGGCTGTCTGGTGCTGCTCGCTCCGCGCTGAGGATGGAGACGGGGGAAATGAGCATCGCTGTGTTTTGTGCGACAAACCTATATGTCCTCCATAACGGGAGGAGAGCCTTGGCTGCACATTAGCAGAGACAGCCTCCATAACCTTATTTACAATAACACGTGAAAGCTGTTGTCGTGGATCGGTCTAAATTAGCCTCTGTTTGGCTTAAAGAGCGTGCGTAAATGAAGAGGGATATCCTGAACGTCAAGGATCAATGCGCTTCAGATGACATGTCGGTAATAAACACCCACACTGTAGCAGGCACACAGTGGCTATATGTATGTGTGCCACAATCTGCATGGTATTTTTATAACATTGGATTATTTTAACTGAATATTTTCTCTCCATAACGGTGTCATTGTTGAATGGCTTCATGATGAACGCCGGACTGAGACATGGCCTAACTGGGCTAATGTTCAGGCTCTGTCATTGGCCGGCTATAACCCATCGGTTGCCTACTGCACACTTGATGTGTTGTCATCTGCAGAGAAGAGATTTTTATCCGAGAGTGTACGGAGCCGTGTGTGATCAAGCGTCTATATAAGAGAAATCTGGGCCAGTATGAAGCCAGGCCACGAAAAGGGTTAACCCGTCTATTTCTCCATAGGGAGAACGGGGGAGGTGGGTGGGGGAAGGCTGTCAAGTCCCTTTGGGATTGAGTTGATGTACAAACAGGAGCCACAGATATGACAAAGTGTGCGTAATTAAATCCTCTTAAATCACCTACATGGCTCCTCCAGAGCGTGAGTCAGCAAGGCCCGTGTGCTGATGATGCTCTTGCAGAGGGAGGAGGACCGGCTGTTGGTCTCAGTGAAAAGAGCCGTTGTGCTGTTTCATGTGAATGGCAAATCTGACAACTGCATAGAAATCATATGAGAGCATCATGGGGAGGAGAGATGTTGGCTTTTAAGTAAAAACGTTATTGTTCTTTTTATCTTTCTCTGTCTGTTTCCCTGACTTCCTGCCTTTTTCTGGCCTGTGTGTGCTAATGTGTGTGTGTGTGTGTGTGTGTTCTCTCTCTGACTTTCTGCACAGCATCCTATTAAATTATCTGTCCTAATGTACATGTATCATTATCTCTGTCTTTCTGGATGTGTGTCTCATAATTTACCCCCTAGTCATCCTCACTCCCTTCTTCTGCTTCAGTGCTTTGTAATATAACCAACTCCTCTATTATTTCAGTGGTGTGGCGCTGGATTTGGTTGCTGGGTGACTCTGCAGAGCAATTCAATTTGGGAGTTAGTCAGATGCCTGGAATTCTGTGAACTGTTAGTGAATCTTTACACTTATAGCTCCTCTTTCATGTTGTTTGCTGCACTACAGGGAGAGATAGGCATGTCAGTGTCCTCGGGTGATACCTGAAATAGCTACTGTGCATGTGACACACACACGCACAGTCATACACAGATGTTTATTTTCTTTCTGTAATTGCGTAAGGCCTCATTCATGCCTGTTAGCACTCTAAGAACGTATCTTTGTGTTACTCATAAAGATGTACAGATAGATGGATAACCGTAACCTATCACTCTTCCTGTTTTCAGCAGGATGCATTAAGGGTCAAAGGTGAGCTAGTGAGGCAGAGATGAGTCTGACTTCCTGGTTCCTGGTGAGCGGCGGCGGGACGCGTCATCGCCTCCCCAGGGAGATGATCTTTGTGGGGAGGGACGACTGTGAGCTGATGCTGCAGGTACGTTACTCTCACTTCTCCAGACGCAAGCTCTGAGATGTCATTCTTCATGTGGCTGGATTATTGTCTGAAGTGCTGAGATTAGCGTGGATTACAGTGATTGACTGGATTTTGTGTGATTTAGTCCCGCAGTGTGGACAAACAGCACGCCGTCATCAACTATGAGCCGAATACAGATGAACATAAAGTCAAAGACCTGGGCAGCTTAAATGGGGTGAGTGTTTTATTTATCTACGATATTCAATATATGCAATCTCTGGTATAGTAAGGGACAGACTGTATTATAACAAGATTCTTTATGCATTTATACATATGTCATCAAGCAATTGCCTGATTCCAGTGCATCATATACATCTCTATACAGTCCCCCTCCAAAAATGTCTTCTTGTTACTTCAGTTGGATGTTTCACTGTGCAGAATGATGTATGTGAGTTTATTTTCAAATTAATCTGCTGAAGGTGGGGAAGTTATTCAGTTCTCACCAAGACTTATACGTCTGTGATAAATCTGCCAATCCTGGTCTAACATGCATTTTACACAGGTGTGATGTAGAAACTTGAAGCCTCCAGTTTACTGACCCTGAGAATGTTTTCAGTGAAGTAGGAGACATCTGTGTGGTATTTAACTTTTGAAACAATAAATATTTGCATATATTGGATTTTGGTAGTAGATGTGGTTTTAGCCATTTTGAATTAGTTGAACTGAACTTTTCATGCGGAAAAACCATATCAGGTACAAATGATTATTCCAAGCAGGGCATTTTTTTAATGTCTTAAAACATGTCTGGAGGGGATCTTTAAATTATTTTCTAAAGTTCATGATTCAGCACCTCTAAATTATATAACTAAATTTGTCAAAAAAAGTTTGTTTTATTTCTTTAGCTAAGAAAGCTTAAGTATTTTACAAAAATGGAATAAGTTTAACTTCTTCATGGGTAATGTTGTCATAACACAGACAAGAATTATGCCAAAATACAGATAGTAAAAATAACATGTAATCAGGAAATATCTGTTTCAAGAATAAGAAACTAGACAAGGATTGTGACCAAGCATCTGATTGAAACTTTTGGTAATTGGTTGTTTTTAGGTGTTCTTAATCACACTCTGCTTTTGTTTGCAGACATTTGTCAATGATGTAAGGATACAGGAGCAAATCTACGTCACACTGAAAATGGATGACAAATTGAGGTTTGGATATGATATCCTTTGAATATGGTCTTGTATATCAGTGAAACCCAGTGACATGCAGCACAAGGTCAGTGTACATGAACAACAGTGTAACTTTATCTGTTTTTGAATAGACGTGAATGCACTCTGCCTGCTGCATAATACATAAGGCTATCAGTGCATGTTTCTCACCCCTAAGAGCTCATCGTCTTTTACCTTAACCTGGCCTACATACCAACCTGTTCACTGTGGTTCGAGGAGAGATGCATATTCCAGAGGAGGCCCTCAAGGTTAGACAGCATGTTGTGCATGTAGTGAGAAACAGCCAGAGCTCATATGTTAGTGGACAGAGTAAATATGCCGTCTCAAAACAGTACAGCCAGAAAGCTTGTGTATTAATTCATCATTGTGAGAAGTGGATTTTATTTAATTAAAAGGTAGCTGTAGAAAAGACAGGTTTCATCTTAATGGGGAAGATAAAAGTTCAGCTGTAATATTCAGAATGTCTCTTCAATTATATGGTATGCTATGACAGAGAGCCTGGAGGTATGTGTGAAACCTGAATGTTTTTTGTAATTTTCAATAAAGAAAATCTGGCTGCTCTTCTATAGATTTAGCAGCATTTGGTGTTTTTGTCTCTTTCTCTCCAAACTCTCCTTGTCTTCCTCTCCTCTCCTTGTCTGTCAGCATGAGAAGTTCAGCAGTCAGCTTCAGCTGAACCAGAAAAAACCTACAAAGGGGGAGTTTTCTAAGTCTGAGGTGAAACCCTCCGAGGCTGCAACAGCACCAGTGTGTGAGGGGGCCGGCGCCAAGCCCCCCGAGGCCAGCAGGGTGGAGGATAAGACGACAGGTGAGAATGTCCAAGGATGCAGTGGACACAGGCTACAAGCCTACAAATCATTGTAGTTTGTCTCAATCATTGTCTCAATTGCCACTTTCTTCAGAGTCTTAGGATAAGATATTGATCGTTAGGTTTGTTCAAACTGTTTTTGGGTCAATAATTTATTTGTCAACAATTTTGAGTCATTTATCAATACAGACTGCCGATTTTGTTTGTGTCTCAATTTTAGGATTAAGTTCTTTTCTCTGTTTTAGATCTGTGAGTTTTGTTCTATTGGTCGACAAAAGCAATTTTCATCTTTCATTTTCATTATTCATCTTTATTCATATTGGGACCATCTTGGGGTTTTCACAATTTCTGACTTTTTATAGACTAAACAGCTTATTGGTTTGTCTGTTAAAAGGAAAACAAAATAACAATCTAGCAACAGAGTGACATTGTATTATAAACCCCCCAGTCAACCCAAGTTTGTCCGTTACTGTTCGTAAACACACGATTCAAAGTTGGCTCCTTCTCCCTGGCACAACAAGCAAAGGAGAGAGAGAGTGAAAGCAGCTGTGGTGGAGCAAACTAGAGAGTGAATGAAGAGAGGGAGCAGCGTTAGCAAGAATAAAGTAGTGAATCGGAAAAACTAAATATTATTTGTGGCTTTAGCTACATTCGCACAAACAAACACGGCCACACCGCTGCACAACCCTGCGTGAAGATTTTTGTGAGAATGTAGCTAAAGCCGCTCCTCATCCTGTCTACTGTTGCCTCTGGTCTGTGTGTAGCTCAGCCATACACTTGGTCAAAAAGACTGTCACTAGATTTTCTATAGAGTCCTAACTTTGCTAGTAGATCAATGATCTACTAGAAGTGATGATTAAGAGGGGATTATTTTTGTGTAAGTTTATATATTGATTTTTAGGGAAATCCTACTTACTCTGTCTTTAATGAATAGTTTATAACATATGAACACACAACACTATAAGTCTAAGAAAGGACATTTTAAAGGTTCTTATCAATGTCAAGTAATTTTTGTTTTCGCCAGGGGACCTAGCAGTGTTTCACAGAGGCACGCCACTCTATGGCCAGCCTGCCTGGTGGGGAGATGGAGAGGCAGATGACCAGCAACATGGGAGGCCAGAGGAAAAGGGCTTAGATCGGAAGCGGGAAAAAACTGAAACAGGTATTTATAATGCTGCAAAAATACTACTTTATGTCATCTTATGGTGTAGTTAAGGTAGTAATTCATGTGAATTGTGTTATTTGAAAGACTGTTGCAATTTGGCTGTTAATAGCTTAAATATGTTAACTCTTAATAATAATAGTACTATTTCCCTTACGTTTAATAGACTTTGTGGTCATAAATACATTCTGTATACATTTAATTCTGACAGACACCAAGAAAAGTACAGAGGTCCCAAAGTCTGCCCTCCAAACAGCTTCCAATCAGGAGCCTAGCTACTTTGAGATCCCCACCAAGGAAACTCCCTCAGCAGGTACAGTGAGTGCTGAAGCCCCCTCACAAGAACAAGAGGCTGGTGCGTCTTCTGCTGCAGAGCCCAGCCATGGACACGCATCCTTCACCATTGAGTTTGACCCTGGGGCAACAGGTAAAGTGACTGTCAAAGATCGAGTGGCGAAGGTGGGACCAGAGACCAGGCCACGTCCTAAAAGGGCCGTCGGGGAGGAGCTGAGTCCGCTTCAGACAGCCATGGTAGCTGCAGAGGTCAAAGTTGCAGACTGGCTGGCCCAAAATGAGCTGCCGTTGGCTCTGAAAGATACAGTTACAGAGGATGATGGGGAAAGTGTGAAGAGTGATGTGCCTGTACAACTGAAGAGTCTTAAAGGTGTGTATGTGCAGGCATTTGTGCAGGAAATGTACCTGTATTTATCGTAAGATTTGTGAATTACTTGATTTTTAACTTCAGTTTAATTTAGCCAAAGCATGTCTTTAACTCCTTGTCTCTTTCTTCACATTGTGACCCATTACCTTCTTCTCTAACCCTTCCATGCCAGACAGCAAACATGAGGACGGAACGCAGAGCGACTCGGAGAATGCACTTGGAGATCAGCGCAGGGCTGCAGCAATGGAGGAACGCTCGTGGGGACTCTGGGGCGGAGCAGGGATGAAGATCAGAGAGGGTCGTGCTAACGTACCAGAGGGGCTCTTCGCAGAGGAAGACAGTCCTGCTCGTCGTCGCAAGTCTTCAACTTCCAAAGTGGCAAGTGGATTTGTGGAGAGGCGACGTGGAGAGGCACCACATCAGCAGAGTGGCCGTGATGAGTGCTATCACCATGGGGATGATTATAGTGACAGAGGGACCTATACCATTGAGCTGGAGAATGGAGATCATGAAGAGGAAGAGGCTAGGAAAATGATTGACAAGGTGGGGAAGAAGACACTTAAAATAAAGCCCTTTTTCTAGATTTTTATAGTCCTTTTCATACATGTATGTGTATGCTTGTTCACCTTTGCGTGTGTGTATGTTGCAGGTGTTTGGTGTGGATGAGCAGGAGGCTGTGTGTGTGTCCAGGGTGGGGAGTGCTGACCAAAGAGAGAGGCTCACCTCCCAGAGATCTGGTACTGGAGACAGAGGAAAGCCTGGACGCATGGAGACAGAGGTGCAAAAATTCAAAGCCTTTAACTTCAAACCAAAAAGTTGGCATGAGGGAGAAAATACTGGTTAAACACTATATTTTTTCTCTTGTATCTTTCATATCCAGGTTCTACCTGAGGAACTGGTAGTGGGTGGTCCTCGGTGGGTCTCACAGTGGGCTACTCTGGCTGCAAGTCACATTAGGACAGACCCTGAGGGATCTGGAGGGGAGAGTCACATCATGGTCACAGAGGACAGAGGTACGTGAAGTTTAAGTGACTTAATTAAAAGCGAAACCTTAGTATGCTAATTTTACTAAACATTACTGAATATTGAATTGGTTGCGTTTTACCCCCCTACTAATAAGATGTTTTTCTCTCCTTTCAGCTGAAATAAGTGAGTCCAGCCACTCAGCCTCTTTTGCCTCATCTGGCTACACAGAACGTAAGAGGAGAACCCTGCCTCAGCTGCCTGGTGAGGAGCTTGTTCTAGGAAGGAGGACCCCAGGATCAGGCCTGCGTGCAGATATGGGGGAGAAACAAGACACAGAGCTACAAGAGAAGGAGAACCAGGGGGAGAAGATGACCAGGGGAAAGAATCGGTCTGCTCATGGCACTGGAGGTATGGGCAGTCACAGCGGCAGCCCCAGTCGCTCTTCACCAGCAAAGTCGCAGGACAGTGGTGGTGGGACATCAGGCAAGACAGGTGTGTTGGCCAAGCTCCCCCCTCGTCCACTGACCAGTGGAGAGAAAAGGATGGAGGAGGCACGGAGGAGGAAAAAGGAAGAGGAGAAGGCTAGGGAAAGTAGTGGGAAACCATTGTTGAGGCAGGAGAGTTTTACTGTGGAGAAACCAAGCTCTAACGTGCCCATTGAGCTCATACCTCGTATCGATGGGCTCACACGCAGCAGAACTCAGAGCAGGGAGGCTGGAATTGACAGCGCCACTATCCAGAAAGACTCAGAAGCTGTGGCAGCCTTTCTAGAGACGACTGTTTCAGACCAAGGTGATCCACCAAGTCAGTCCATTGAAGGCTCCATGTCACCAGAGTCAGACGTGGACACGACCAGCACAGTGAGCCAGGCTGACGGAGCAAAAAAAGTAGTCCAGAAACGCCGGACTCTTGCAGCACAGCAGAAGGAGAGAACGATAGTGTGTTCATCCAGCAAAGGCCCCTCTGGGGCCCGGGAGACCCAAGACAGGAGGGTCAAGACTAGGGCATCTGGTCCTCCACAGCCAAGCCGCCCCTGGACTTCCCTGGACCTCACTGATGATGACGTCAACTCCAACTCACTCCTCTCTGACTCCCAGCCCACCTCTACACAGGAATCTAGAAGCTCACATACCAGAGCCCAGGCTGTGGGAGCTAGCACCAAGTCTAGTCGGGCTAAAATCACCCAGGCCCCAGGCTCTTCTGCAGCCAATAAAACCGCCAGTGCTCCCAAGCCCAGGCCCACCAGGGCTTCCTTGCTGAGACGAGCCCGGCTAGGGGACTCATCAGACACTGAACCTGCTGATCTTGACCGGATGTCGGTAGCCTCTGAGGCCTCTACCGCAAGTTCCACGTCCAGGACTGGTATGGCAAGAAGGGGAATGTCCAGAATAGAGGCTCTGGCACAGCCTAGGAGGCCGAGGGTGGGGTCTCCGTCAGCTCAGAGTGACTCAGAGGCCACTGTGACAAGGAGAGGTCTGGGGGCCCGGAGTGCTGCAGGCGATTATTCCATCAGACAAGGACTGAGAGGGGCTAATGTCACCTCAGTGTCTGGACCCAGAGCTAGGGCTAACAGTGCTTCCAAGCTGCCTGACAAGAATAAAGGCACCTTTTCCTCTGGACATGTCACACCGTCATGTAAGTAGTGTTTTACATAGTAAACGTTACTTACATGTCCACTGGAAATAGTATTATCTTTTACACATTCTGTTTTTTCCATGTTCCTATTGATCCTTTTACTGCTTGTATATTTATGTAAGTTACATTAATTAATACCTTTAAATAAACATGTGTTTGCCATATCAAACTAAATGTTTACAGCTTGTTGTGCTGTTAAAAAAATCAATCTAAACTTAACTTCCTTTCCCTCTTCATATTAGCTGGCACTCGGTGGCGCCGCGTGCCTGTGGAGTATGCCTCCACCTCAGAGGACGAGTATGGCTCAAACCGCCACATGTCCAAGCAGGGCCACTCACGGCCATTCCCTTCCACTCGTGTAGCCCAGCTAGGAGGTTCAGCGCCAGCAACTCCTAATCCTGCAGGCCTGGCCTCCCTGAAGCAGCACTCCAGGGAACAGGACGAGTATATGAGAGACTGGACAGCACACAGCGAGGAAATAGCCAGGTACGTGGGTGAGAGGTACTCCAGTGCAGTTTGAGGGCAGTAGTGAGTCATGATAACAGTAATCAAACATTATTCTCCTGCTTAATAGTATATAGCTGTATTTTTCGGTATTTACTTTTGTTTCAGGTCGCGCAGTGCTCTTGATGGTTATGGGTTCTTGTATGAAGTATATGAAATAAATATCACCAAATAAAACAAGAAGAAAACTTGGTTTAACAAATGTCAGGTGGTGATTTCCTATTTGTGTTTGTTCATCAGGATTAGCCAAGACCTAGCCAAAGACCTAGCCATGCTTGCGAGAGAAATTCATGATGTGGCAGGAGAGATTGACTCAGTCAGCCCTGCAGCCACTGACCCTGGAGCTCTGGTAGTCAACACATAAAACAACCACAACATAACTTCTTTATTCCATCTGCTAGATTTGATAACAAAATATCAAGATTTATTTGCCGCTACCCAGATTCAATCTGTTCTTGATAAAATTATGTAGATTTGACCAGAAATAGAATCTGATGAAATAACATTTCTTTTCTATGCATTTTAATTCTGTTTTAGTTGGAAGAGCGTGTGTTTGATGACAGCTTGGACCTGGGTGGTTCCGCAGAGCACAGCAGTGTTATGGGAACCAATGGGCGGTCTGTGGAGCTTCGACCCCAGGGCTCTGGTGGACAGAGCTCCCGGTCCATCCGCAGACAGACATGGAATAGAGATGATGTGAGTACCTGTTTCAATATTAAACAATACTCTATCCTCAATATAAATATACATATATGTTATGCATAACATAGGGCTATTCCAGAGTTTGAACTGTAGATGTCTTTCTCAATCAACTCTTTATTTCAAGTATAAGTAAGGAGAAACACTGTGAAGTTTGTATACATAGCTTAGTATCATGCAAACCTTATTTTCCATCTGCACTCTGTGATTGGTTGATTGGTTCATTGTAATGGTTTCCTGTTAGAGAGTACACTTTACATTTGTCGAAATAAAGATCAACATGTCGGTCTGTACCACAGTGTGCCACTAGAGGGAGCTCCCTACATGCCAACCACGGTCACCCCTCATCAGACAAACTGTGCTTCTGACTGGACCGAAAAACTAATAAGAATATTTTCTAATGCAAAGTCCATGAATAGTCAGAGCTTTAAATAGGCTAAATCACTAAAAATGTTGTGTTAGCTTCTAGTTTCCTCTATTCCTCAACAATTCTGACTGCATACATTGCATGCCACTGTTAATTAAAAGTGACATTGATGTGTTTCTTTTCGTCTATCAGGCGGTGCTAGACAGTTTATTACTAGCATCTGTGACTCAACTCTCAGCTAGGATACGTCAGTCTGTAGACAAAACAACCTGCAAAATCAGGTGAGCATGGTACTACTTGAAGAAATGTGCATTTATTTTAATTTGGTGTAAATTTAAAACACTCTATACTGAGAAAAGGGCAAATGCAGGATTGGACTGTCAAAATAGAATCGAATATATACTTGTTAGGATTCTTGCCTGTGTTTTATGTCAGAACTGGGCCATCCAGGACAGTCTGAGTGGCACATCACAAAGGTTTCCACAGACAGCCAGCTACATATCTTCCTCATTATCACATGCAGGATGACAACTCAAAAGCCTTTTTTCATTCCTATAATCCACAATGTGTGAATGAAATCACTTTAATACTCTAATACTTCTATCAAGAGGTGTGTTAAAAATATTTTTATGTATGATACTTTCATCTATTTTCATACCAATTTGGCCTCCAGGATCCTCTTCAAGGATAAAGAACGAAAATGGGAAGAGATTGAGAACAAACTGCAGGCAGAGCATGACTCTTTGCTACTCAAGAGCTCCAATAAGGTGATGAATGTGTCCACTTCTCACACTTTGTCTGTTTTATCTGCTACTGGAGTGCGTGAGAAATAGACAAGACAGTAATATTTATAGCCATGCATGGCTCCAGGGGTGGCAATGTTGGTCGACACACCTTTTTCCAGACTGAAAAATCTCACTAATGTTGTATGGATTGCAATAAAATTTGGTTTAAACTTTCATGTCTCCTCAGGATTAGGTTATCACTTGATGATTGGTGATTCCTAAATCTGTAATCTAGTGCCAGCAGGTCCAGTATTCACACACAGCATCAGCTATTGTTTCAGACTGTGTGGGCTCGTAGTACGAGCTCAGAATATTTTGTTTAAAAAAAGTGTGGACTGTTCATTTTAAAGTCATGCTTGAATGACCATGTAGTAATAACCATGGCTGGCAGCTCTAAAGAGAGATTGTCACGGAAAATAGCAAATGTTACCTGTGTTAGCGGGTGATTATTCTGTCTTCATAACTTCATAGCTACTATATATTTGACTATAATGTGTTTGGAAGAACACTAAAGGGTTGCACAAGGTGTTGACTCTTTTAAAACAAAATCTGCACACACATATTTTTTCCAAGTGTAAATAAGTGCATTTTGCTTCTTAATTGTGAGCTATTTTAATACAGTAATCAGACAGACGAATTTCAGGGAAATCTAATCAGCATAATGTTTGCATTTTGGCATTAGTTTGGCATAAATTAATACAAAAACGAAAGGCACTTTGATTTGGCCACAGTACTGAAAATATTTTGATCAAGAATTTGTTTATGTCAGTAATCCATTAGTTTATGGGATTAATGGCATACAGTGTTAAATCCACTCCTTCCATTTCTCTGTGTTTTACAAACCACACAATATCTGATTACTTACTGAAGCAATCACAGTGAGTGCTGACAGCATTACAGCTGTCAGGGGGATCAAATCAAACATACTTCAGTCTTGCACATACCATTTAGATTACCTTGCAAATTCCCTTTTTGGAGAGGACACTAAATATAATTGTTTTGATGAAGATAAAAGACTTACAAGCTGCTGTTGTGGGTGCAGAAAGTCCACAAAACTTTTTTTGTAGTCATAAATTCTGCATTTAACCCAGTCTGGCCTCATGTGAACCCCTGAAGAGCTATGTCTATCCACCAAACAGTCACAGTGCTCATAAAGCATTACTGAGTGTACACGGCATGTCTCCAAATGTATTCCTGCAGCAACAAAGAGATGAAGTCAGTTGATTTATTTGGTGTACGAACTTTCACGTACTTAATCACATCCTCTGCCGGTCTTGATTTTTTATTTATGTTCTCTTAACAGGAGATATCAAGCATTATTCAAGACCTGAAGAGAGTGGAGAGACAACTGCTCGGTATGGATGTAATGTGTTTAGTGAACTATGACACATACAATTACAAGCGTCTGTTTTTTGTGCTGTTTGGAGCTGTGTTAAATTCAGGAATGCTAATTTTAAATGTTCTGCAATCATCTATCAGTAATCGACATGATGGTGGACCCAGACGGCACCCTAGATGCCCTGTCCAATCTGGGCCTGACCAGCCCTTTGACTGACCAGAAGATCAACCCTGGGACTCAGCAAGGGCAGTCGGTGTTGCACCCTGGAGCTGGAGCTTCCTCCAGCACACTGTCTGCCTCCAGGCCTGAAGGCCCTGCCACTGAACCATGTGGACCTTCAGACCATGCAGAGGTGGCAAAGCGAGACCCAGGGCCCAAACAGAGCTCTAAATCCTACAATTGATACACTAAGAACATAATTCAGAATGCATCCTTTATTGTTGGATATATCCTGAAGCTCTTGGAGACAGATAGTGGTGTGAGGTTAGAGGATTTTCAAGTATTTGGTTTCAGACAAAAGGAGGAAAGCGGGAGGACAAGGATGCCTTTTCCGTGGGAAAGCCTGACTGCCCTAACTGTCAATCAAACTAAATCGAGATAGGATTTCAAAAAGTCCAACACTACCAAATAGCAGCTCTTGGGATGTGAAATATACAATATGAAAACATTACAGTATTAATTGATGGGCTTATGAAGAAGCTATGACATAATATACAGTAACCCATGTGTGTTTTTGTGTTGCAGCTCATTATCCATTATCCTTAACAACATTGAAAAACAAACAGTTGTAAAAGACAAGAGGAAGCAATGTTAAAGATTAAATTTCCAAATTCTCGCCATTTAATTACAAGCCCTTGTGTTTGAATCGTAAGCCAGTCAGCTTTAAGTCTGGCCTTAAGTGAGCTGACTTAAGGCCAATGCAGAAACCCAGACTAGAACGGTGCAATGGTGTCAAAAAAAGGATTCAGCAAAGGTATATGTGTGTTACTCTATCCTGCCATAGCATTATTTATAAAAACATATATATATGATTGCCCTGTTGCAATTGCAGTCCCCAAATTTGTCTCAGTAATGATTTTCCATCAGAAAAGGCCACATTGCTCATTTCTGGGAAAGGAACTGGGTAGGTACAGTATGTACCAGTGTAAATGTTTATTATAGTTAAATCAAAAACTCCCGTCCATGCCTTTTCTTCTTGTGGCGAGTTCATTTGAAACCAGTGTATCAAAGATGGACCATGTGTGTTAATAGAAACTATAAAATCAAATGTAGCTCCCAGAAAGGTTTTCCTCTTCCAAATGTATTTTGTCACAAGTGCCCTGGATCAAACAATCATTGCAGTTGGAGGTAGAAGATGCTACAGTGTATAGAAGATGGTGAGGTGGAAGTGAAATTAGTTTTTTTGCAAAGCTGATATATATGTTAATATTCATCTCTGTGGGACCAGGACATGACATGCCCCCTGTGACACTCCTTTATAGTGTTAATGTCCTCGACCAAAAACAAAGCAGGGTGAAAGCCAGCTGCCTGTAAATGAGCAGTTTGTCAAATTATCTTCTGATCACAGACAAAATGTTGTGTTTGAACCAGCATAGACAGGGGCTACCTCCAAGTCCTGCAGCAGCATTTTACTGTTACAGATGCAATGGAAGGATGGGAACTGTAGTTGGTTTTCCAATGTCTTGCCTCATACCAATGTTTACATATGAATGTAACCTGATCAGAACTGTTGAACAATTTTAGCCAAAACAACTTTAATAAAGATTAATAACTGCATTTTGTCTTTATTTATGTTTGAGCATTTGGAGAATTTTTGTTTGGATGTTTTGTATGAAGTTTTTTTTGGTTTTGTAATGATGTTAGGTTAAATGTTGACCTTGCAATACCTGTGTTTTGTTTGTCTCATTTCCAATAAAATGCATGGTAATCATGAGCTATTGTGTTTGTTCTTATTACTTCCACTGTAGTGCAAGTTTACAGTGTTGACAACAGTTTTTAGGCACTTGTACTGTAATTCCGTTGTATGCCACTTTATATTGCCCCACTATTATAAATTATCATTTTTGCTCCACTTCATGACAGCTAACTTTGCAGATTCAAATATGACAAGATTATTAAATATAAAGCATGATCGATTAAACAAGTATAAACTAGTAGACTTCTACAGTTAAAGTAGTTAAAGTTCATTAGCTTACGTCCACCCTCTTCAACAATAAAATGCTGCTCACATGTTAATACTTGGTTAAAAACTCTGAAAGTGGTCATTCTTCATTATTAATACTTTTATTGTAATTGTTTATTTGTAATGTGTGCGAACTATGGCTTTTGGGGTAGCTCACTGTTTTTACAGTGGGTAGGGTATTGAAATGAATAATGGCAATTGACTAGTAGGAAAGTAAAAAAATATATATTTTTAAAGTGAGTGAAGACAAAGATATTGTGCCGCCAGACTTTAATGGTGATGGCAAGAATAGTATGTCTTCTGGTACATTAATTAAAGTGAATTAGAGATAAATCACCCTCATGCGTGAATCATACATCAGTAATAGCCTAATTTTACACATGATCTATGATGATGGAGATATAGAAAAATATAAATGCATGGCAAAAATAGACCCCACAAAATTTCACAAATCATGTTTTTGGGGAAACTCATGTCAAGCCAAGCTCCCCTTGGCTCCCCTGTAGTTCTCACCCTGCTTATAGCATTGATTTCAGACACAGCAGGGAGCTGTTTTTTGTGAAAAAGCCCACTGTACACTACCAGCTCAGCACCTAACAGCAAACATACAAAGTTAGCAACTAGCTGCTGAACAGTTAGGACATAAAATCATTTATTGCAGGGTTAAGTAAAATGTTTAATGCAGGAGTTACTTGAATTGCTTGTAACAGAGTATTTTGACCTTGATGTTGATATTGTGGTATACATAAGTATAAAGTATCTTTGTACTTAATTCTTCCACCACTGTTTATTAAATCTATTTTATATTAAAAGGGGGAAAATGTTTTAGATACAGTAAGATAACATTAGGGATTTTTGTCTAGCTCTAGTAAAAAGCTGGGGGTGTCCTAGTAGATCACCGGGTAGAGTGTGTACCACATGTCAAAGCAACATAGGCCCAAATACGGCCCGTAGGGCTTTGCTGCAGGTCATCCCCTTTCTCTTCCCTTCCTTTCCTGTCTCTCTCTACGGTCCTGTCTAATAAAGCAAAATGCTAAAAAAAATAAATAAATAAGATGAACCCTCTTGGCTGCCATCATCCAAAGCTACAACCTCGCAGATACTTCCTCCACAAGAAGCCCAATCCTCCTCCCTGTCTGGCCTGTCTCTCATTCTTTGCAGAAGTAAGAAACAGAACAAATTAGGTTTTAGAGGCCCTGCTGCCAGAGCCACCGCACTACTAATTGTATGTTTCAAGATATTCTGCTCTACTTCCTTAATCCTTAAAGCCGTGTCAAGGTTTTCCTCCCTTGCGAGCAACATTCACGCCGGCTGCTGGTGCACATCAGCGCTACTGCAGGTGTTCACCTAAGTGGGAACAGTTTAGCTGAATTGTTCCCACTTAGTTTTATTAAGTTCAGGTTCCCTGTAGGCTTTGTTACTGAACTCACACTGCTTGCATTTATTGCATTTAAATAAAATATTCATATTACTGCATTACTTTTTGGCTCTGAGGTGTCAGACAGGACCTACTTAAAATAAAAATGATGTGTTTATTTGCTCATGTAGCCAAATTAAAAATTAATATGAATATAAAATATTTGCCAGGTGATACACAGCATGTGCCCTATGCGCTATTCAGTGTAATTTGAACTGCCATTGATGATTTAGCACCTGTGCGGCCTCAGAGTGAATTAGATGTATGATGCTATACTGTTTGTGTGCAGGATACTGGAGCCATTTACATATTCTGAATCTCCTCATTGATGGACCATCATTGCTTATGGGCACTGGGGAGGAAAACAACTGGACTAGGCAAAAATACTCTGTCAGCAAATACAGTATTCAGATACACCATATAGGGTGATTCAGAAGTTGTGCACAAAAACAGCTGGGTTAACATTGCGAGGCAAGCTGGACAAAATCCAGCTCAGTTCAGTCCATGTGTTTGTGGTCGGTACAGTGGTACCAGACCCCCCAGCGTTCTTTGAGGAAGTACTGGCAGTATGGGGTTGAGTGTTCGTTGTGACGCAGCAACAACAAGACACTTTTCATTAAACACAAAAATGGAGAGTATTTCTTCATTGAAGGACGAGCAGAGAACAGCACTAAAGGATTTTCTCCATGGAAAAGATTAGGGCTGCCCGGTTTCCGGTTCCGTTGCCTACTCGCCAAGCTGCTTCAATGTCCCAGTCTGTGCAGAGTCAGCTAATAGGGCCGCTACACAGCAACTAGTACTGTGTTACCCTGATACTTAGTCCCCAGGACAAGGCACAGGTACCAAATGTTTGAGTATCCGACTAAAGGTGGGTCAATTAAGATGCTTCTCAGCGACTTATGGTTTAGTCGACTATTAGGAGGCCTAAAAAAGATGTTTTCGCTTTACATCTTTATTTACAAAGTCTTTATCTTCCCTGCCTTTGCATTTCTGCATTTCTCTGCTAATTACTGCCACCTTTAGGTCAGCCAAACTCAGATGAGCCAAACAAAATGGGGACCAACTCCTTGAAAAACACTTCCATAGAGCTGCTAGGTCAAATACTCCACAAGGAATCTTTAAGGTTCTGGTAGGCAGATGTTAAAAGGAGTCAGGCCAGCTGTTTCCCCCTGTTTCCAGTTTCTATACCAAGCTAAGCTAACTGGCTTACATTTACTGGACAGATATTAAACCAACAGTCTTCTCATGTAATGCTCGACGAGAAAACAAATAAGTGCATTTCGGAAAATGTTAAATTATTGATAATGATAGCTACCGAGGTCCCACAAGCACTGAAGTAATGAATATAAAGCACTCATCACGAGCTCTGCTAGTATTGACACAGCGGCCACACAGGGACTGTATTTTGAATTAGATCAGTGAATAGTCAATTTTTCTTACACCAGCAACTTTTTGTATCCATAACATAAATTGCGCAGGCTATAAAAACTTCACTCAGCTTATGTGTGTGTGTGTGTGTGTTTTATAGCTGACATATGGTGCCTTTCTGAACCTGTGCCAAAGGTTTCTTAAGGTGAGGCTACAGTCCTTGAGGATGTTCTATCTCTGCAAGTATCAGTAATCTGTATGTAAGGTGCAAATGGAAGAAATTAGATTTTGTACACTTTTGTGTGTGTGTGTG